TTATAAATGACCACTACTCATCTGTGCCTTGGTACCATTGAGGTCATCCCAGGAAATCACCACTGTTCTAAGGAAAACCCAGTAAGAGGTATGCACAAGGCTAACACTTCCATGCTAACCTAACCCTGCTACAAGCAATTGGAGAGAATGAAGTTATTTCTACCGTGGATTTCCTTCCCTACAACTATGTGCATACATATCCATATATATGTATATACATGCACACAGACACACCATACAATTTTACATATAATTTTACATCTATAATTTTAATGATCTATTTATCTCTCTACCTTTCTAGACAAAAGGGAGGTTTTCCTAATGTTACACAGGCCATGTATTCTGGTGCAAGGCAGAGAATGGAAAAGAAGCTTTCTAGTGTCTTCATCACACAATATCCTTTAACTAATGTTACTAGTATAACAAATGGTAGGTTACATGAAGAATTTAAGCACTCTCCACCCCCCAGCATTCATGTCTGGAACTAGGTGCATTCACAGAAATGCAGGTCAAGCTGAAATCCCTTTGAAAATTCAACCTTTTCTGAAGAAAAAGTTGATAGTTATTGACAAAATGTTGTACTCTGCCTTGTTACTATTCATGATTAAGGAAAGCAAATATTGTCTGAGGCCTAATGAGAATTCCAATGCAATAAAGTCAAGTGTGAAAGGTGCAATCAATAAGTGATGATGCAACAGTATTCCTTTGTAGTTTTGTTATTGTTTAGTTCATGCTATTTGCTGATGCTTGAAAATGAAGTGTTAAGAAATTAGTGTTACAAGGATTAACATTTAGATTTTATTTCTGATATTGTTATGTTTCTACAGTCATTACACTCTGAACACTAATTAGCATCTGCTTTCTTTTCCCACTAGTTAAGGACTGCAAACCGAAGAGTTATAGAACACAAATACTATGGAAACGAACATCAGTATTTTCCATTAACATCCACAAATTAAACCCCATGATGTCCATGGTTAATTTTACACTGTAGGAGTAAGTACTGCAATAAAGTATTGTATTTTCCACATTTTTTTGCGTTAGAAATTATGATTCAAAGTTTATCAAATTTATGAAGGGAGTGTTATTTCCAAATGTGTAATAGGTCTCAGAGTCCAAGCTGGAATATTTATGTTCTACATGATGTCATAGGTATCCACCAAGGGCTCAGTTTTGGATTTACAAATATTGAATATCAGGAAGCATACTGCATCAGGAGACAGACAAGGACTACATTTCAGTTACTCAGTTTCTGCAAGGAAACAAATTTCTTCCAGTCCTTCATCAGACTGATTAATTCCTCTCTGTTTTGCTCAGCTGGATTGGCAGGCACAGATACATTGGTCTCTGCCACTGTGCCATAGCACAGGACACTGGTACCTTGTGTCAGAAATTTAAGGGATGATTTTCTGTCTTCCCTGCAGGCATTTTGTACAAGTGACAATTTGTTCTGGACACATCATGTAGCCTGAAGATCCTGAAAATCAGTTTGAATATTCTTTGCAACTCTGTATTTTCTGAAGAAGCCATGTAAAAATTTGGCTTCAGTGCATTTTCACTGAATACATTTACAATTAACATCTTTATGTTTCTGAATATTCTGCTTTATTAATTGCTCTGGCAGAACAAGATTTAGGACATGGATGGAAAACAAGGGCTAGGTTCTGTCCTAAAATATTTGGTTACATGTTTGTGTTAAGGTGTCATGGCTTTTGAAGTCAGCTAGGAGTATTTGGCATTAATCCTATCCAAAGGGAAACTACAGGTCTAAGCAGACACCTCCCAAAACTCCTGTTCATTGTGTATGGTAAAAGACCCCATGCATTTCACAAGGCTCTACAGTTCTTCATACATTGCTAAAAGCAGTAATTCCTTTGAAACTTCATTTCTGTCTCTTGTAATGTAACAAGTTTACAAATTCACTAAGTACTAAGATAATGTAGTTAACTTCTGTTTACAGAACATAACCCATTCTGACCAAGAAGATTCTCTAGTCCATAAACAATTTTTCTTACAAATGGAACTAGGTAAAAATTAGCTGTAACACTGGAGAATGACTTATGTGTTTTATATAATGGTTGTTATTAAAATGCATCTTTTGCAAAGCCATGGAAATAACTCTTTCAGTCATGTGAGATCTCTTGACCTATTGCAAATAATAGGGCACACTTGCAGTGCCTTTAACTTTTGGCAACTTATTTGTTTACATGTATTTAGAAACAGCTGAAGAAGAAACTTAGTTCTGCATGAACCTAGTATAAAATGTACATACATACATGTATGTACATACATGTACACAGCCAAAGGAAAGTTAATTATGGGAAATAAAACATGATGTATTAAATTGGGTCCCTAAGAAAATCTAAAAATATAAGAAACCCTATCATATTAACCAGCAAGAACTGCTCTTTCACTTAAGGTATAGTTGGGCAATTATTCAAACCTGGACAAGACTGGATTGTCAAGTGAAATAATAATTCAGAGCTCCACAGGATAATGAGATAGATCTCAAGGCCATTAGCAGTGGCCCTTATTATAATACTGGCCAAGGTTCCCCAAGAAAGAGAGAGAATATTTAAATGAAACTTGTAGGGTACTAGTTTGAACTTGTATATTTGAACAGCTTAATACTGTCTCCTAGTTTCCATTCATTATTGGAGAGAAAGGTATCTACCATGTAAGACTGTGAAATCAGTCAGGCTTTTGAGACTGAAATCCCTGAGGGCAGAAACTAAAACATAAAATAATTGGATAATCAAGCCACACTGAAACTCACAGAGTTTATATTAAGAATCTTATTCTAGTGAGAGTTTAAGGTCTGGTTCAGCACCCAGTTGTCTCCTCTTTCCTGATTATTTCCCTCTCATTCAAAACAAGCAAATCCAACATATATCTCTTCTCTGACTTCAGGTGTGTCATAAAGAATTACAGTTTTAGACATAAGGGCTTTATAGGTTGGAAACAGAGGAAGGGATTACTTTGTCTCTATAAAATAGGTCCTGCTTATGAGACATTTGTATAGGCATGCTTCATTCTGTTCTGTTTGTTTGCTTTTAACCACTATGGGAATAACTCAATAGCTGGTAGTCACAGAGAAGCTCCCTAATCCCTGGAAAAACAGTTGTCTAGCCTGCAGTTTGTGAGGTACAGTACTAATGTATCAGCTAATGCATCAGCAATTGCCACGGATTAGAAATACTGCTCATTTCAATATTCTCCTTATGATCCTTCTCCTAGGTACAGGAATTTCCAAATACAGGACCAGATCTAGGTCTGGCATGCCTGGCATCCTCCACTGAGGAACTCTGCTCTGCACCTTAATGAACATCTCCTAGGATGACTGGTCCCTGGGGTGCTCGGACTATTAGGCTAGACTGGGGTTTACAGCAGGTTAAGCAAGAAGTCTGACTAAGAATTAGTAAATCAAATATTAAATACTGATTAAATATTTTACGATCTTTTTACTTAGGCTTTGATTTGAAGTTTACTTCATCTGCTAGCCAGAGATCTGCTGAAGGTTAATTGATGGAGGAAGAGTAAATAACTTATGCTCATGCTGCTGGCCCTAAGTATGCGAGGCATTTAAGACTATTCCTAACCTCAAGTGTGCAGTCACTGACATGCTCATTTGTCTCACTAGGTTAGTGTCACTAGGGCTCAGATATGTGATCAAATTACTGCCGTGAAAGTGGTTTAAGCTTATGTGTTTTCTCTTGTATTGTATATTTGCACATGTCCCCAGTGACACCAAGTAATCCTTTAAATTGCGTTAATTTGATCATGCATCTGAGTACCCAGTGCAGAAAATTGGGATAGGTGACTATGGGAAGTGGAGATGATGTCTCTTAGAAGACAAATAGCTCCTATGGAGGAGAGAGACAGACATCCAGCAGAACTCAGTCTAGCAGGATAGAGTATAAATCTGTCCCCTTTCTCCTTCTACAAAATCAATGGTTTGTAACTTATAAACGTGACCTGACAAATTGCTTTTGTGGACTTTGGGCTTTTTTTTTCTTTTTTAAAGGGAAAGAATTAACAATACTCTTGTAATTGTTGGTTAATTTTTGGCTACTTAACTGAGCCAGTGACATTTAAAGCACATGTAGAGAGAACTCAAAGAAAAATTCAGAAGCTTATCATCCAGCAAGAGCCCTCATCATATTTGGGGTTTGGAGTTGGAAACTTAAAAGCAATCTGAATATCCAGTTTTACAAAAGTACTGCTGAGATTGTGTCTGAGCTCCTTTTCAAGGGAACTTTGGTAAGGGTTTACACATACCAAAGAACAATTTATGTAAAGAGCAGTGAGAGTTATTGGACTAATCATTTTTAATAGAGATTCCTTGTCTTTAATTCAGAGCTACACAACAGAACTTAATAGCTTGTGGCAAATAAATAATTTACACATGGATTGTGTCTGAATAAAAATGCATACATAAAATATCACAGACTTAATGAAGGTGCTGTTTTTTTAAAAAATCAATTTAATTGATTTTGCTGATAGGTCTGCATTAATATTTTTGTAAGCTCCATTTTGCTTTACCTGTACATGTGGCCCAGTCGTGATTTGTAAGGGAAGGGAAAACTCTGCAAATGCAATTAGAAACTTGGAACACAGAGCATTGGTAGTTTTGAAGTGTCTGGAGTAAGACACTCGGAAATAGCACTCCACTGTGACCTGGTAGAGGGGCTCATTTACAGAGTACTCAGAAAAGGTCAGCCTCTCAGAACGCTCATGACTATTCAGTCATGTGTTTTGCAGCATTGGAGCCCAGTGAAGCTGGTAATGAAGACTTTTCCCCTTAACGCTAAACATGTTGGGCTGTTCAGCTGCAGTCAGCTTTGACTTGTGCTTGGCCTGAGTTCCTACTAGAGCGGGGAGAAGACCAGGGCTGAAGAAGGTCATTGTTGTGGCAGATGCACAACTGCAGCCAGGAGAACAGTGGTCAGATGGAAACGTGGGGTGTATTTCACAGGGAGAGGCATGGGACGATGGCTGCTTTACCCTTGGGAACACCAGCTTATCTGATGGGCCTGAAAGCTGCTTTTCACTACTTTTCGCCCACAGCCTGTCGTACCTCCTGTTACCACGCTGCTTTTTGTCGTCAGTACCTCACAAAAGCTCTGCATTTTAGAAAAGTGCGTAGGCAGCCGCCGAAGCTGGCGGGCCCAGGGAGAGTGGCAGGGATGCCGAGGGTCGGCCGCCGCCCGCCCCGCCGCGCGCCCGAGGGGCCCGAGCGGGCCCGCCTTACCTTTGGGGTGCCAGGGGTCCGTGAACTCGTACTTCCCCACGCCGATCGTCCGCAGCATCTGCACCCCGTTGGTGTTGTCCGGGCCGCCCGCCGCGGCCGCGCTGGGGGGCAGCGGGGCGGCCGCCTGCCCGTTGGTGGCGGGCACGCCGCTGGGCAGGGCGGCCGAGGGCAGGGCCGGCGGCGGCGGCGGCAGCATGGGGCAGGCCAGGTGGCCATTGCCCACCGCCCCGGGGCCCGGGTGGGCCACTGGGCCCACGCCGCTCATGGAGGACATGCTGAGGGGCTGGCTGTTGGTGTACAAGGGCTGGCTCTGGAGGTTGACCACCATGTTGCTGAGGGGCTGGGAGGGCTGCGGCTGGAGCTGGTAGTGGCCCGGCATCAGTGGGAGCTGTGGGGTGACGTGCGGCGGCAGGGATGGCGTGACGCCGATGACAGGGGCCTGGACGCTGGCGGCCGGGCTGAAGGTGGGCGGCTGTGTCATCCCGTAGGAGTGCGTGATGAGGGCGGGCTGGCTGCCCGCTGCCACCGTGGTGACCCAGGGTGCTGCACCTGCGGCAAGAAGGAAGGCCGGCAATGGCGGTGGGCTCGGCATGGGGGAGAGCAGACAGCAACATCCCCATCCTTCCCCTCCACATCCCTGGCCGGCACCGACGCGCCCTGCTGCACAATACCAATGCGGTTTGGGATCTGGAGCCGTTCCCAAGAAGTAAGTGCATAAAATTGCTGCAGCGATGTGAGCACAATTGTTAAAATACTCGTCAGGTGACATGCGGCATGTTTGCGGTTTTATGTATTTTGCACTTTATGCAGCTTAAGCACACGCTTCCAAGAAAATTAACCTCTTTCCCCGCTGCGCTTTCACGGCTCCCTGACAAACACTCTGTGTGTATAATAATGGTGCTCCAGCCACTACAAAGACATTGTAATTAGGCGTCTGGCATAGTAGCACAATGTATGATATGTGTCTGGAAGCTGGAAATCATTTCAGGTAGTTCTGGACATAAAAGAAGTCTTAAAGTATTACAGAGTGCCTTCCCCTCCAGTGAAGGCAGAGAAGGATGAAAAAAACCCTGCTCTAATGAACTTGCAGCATCTTAATACATTTGTATCAGACCCAGCATAGAAGAAACTTGAGGGGTCTTTACAATGAGGGAAAACCCCTGCTAAAGAATAAAGAAAAGGCTCACAATGAAGTCTAATTTACAGAGGTAAATGGAGATAGTGCATTGAATTTGCTTTGAACGATTTTCCCCGGTAGAATTACAAATAAGATTAGAGACATACCTGGGTTTTCATTCTCCCTCATCTGTTTAGATGGAGGCTCATCAGTGTCCCAGGGCGTGGACTGATTGATGGGTGTCTGTCCCCACCTGACGCTTGTTGCAAGTCCTTGAGGCTGATTTTCTGTCTTGGAAATGCAAGGTGTCTACCAGAGAGAAAGAAAAATACAGAATAAAAATGTTTTGGTTATTGGGATTAATTATGGTTCCTTGTTTGTTACAGTCCAAGACGATATCCTAAGACCTTTAAATATCATTCATTTGGGGTTAGGACTACAAGATCTCCAGAGGTCCCTTCCAACCCTAACAATGCTGTGATTCTGTGATTGTCCTCCTGGCTTGCATGAGATGTCTCTATGGAAATACAATATTTGAAAAAAAAAGCTTCTGGGAATTTAATAGATCTACTGTAAAAATCCACAACAAACTAGTATTTTCAGAAATAAGTCACTTCATTTGCCATAGAAATGAAAAAAAACCCAACAAACAACCCAGATATGGTAATATCTACTCAGTGGCAGCTACATAAAATGGAACAATCTTGTGTTTGCTCAATTTCTTCCAAAAATAGTGAGATTTGTTTAGCAGGAGGCAGAACAAGAGAGACTTATTTACAACTGTAGGACAAATTACTGTAGAACAGTAAAGAGAAGTCTTGGTATTTACTGTCTGTCAACCCTTGAAATTGAATGCCAATAAAAAAAAGCATAACATCAGTGGCTGCTAAAGTGGGTCTGTTGGCAGGTCTTCAGAGAGGTTAAAAAAACTGTAAAGTAGGGAAAGGATTTGGGCTGAATAATCATCAAAGCAGACAAGACCTGAAAGAGATCTCTTGATGAGAAACTATCACATGGATTTAAATGCTACACCAGACCCCTGCTGCAATTTTAGGGGACCTTCCCAAACAATCACGCCTTTGCTGAGAAAAGGCTTGTAGAAAACAAGGGTGCTCCAACAGGTCTCATTTATTTAAGTCTGCTGTGTATTTCATTACTGGAAGATTAAAAGTTTTTTGGTTTTTTTTTTTGTTTTTTTTTTTTTTTTTTTTTTTTTTTTTTTTTTTTTTTTTTTTTTTTTTTTTTTTTTTTTTTTTTTTTTTTTTTTTTTTACTGGTGTCAGAACCTCTAAACCAAGCAAACTGAACCAGCTGCCTATTGCTGAATGAGTACTGAAGAGTGGAGCCATAAAGAACAGGAGACCCATCTGAGTGATTGCTTGTTTGCCTCACATCTGGGAAGTAATTTAGCTCAGAGATGGGGGTACAGCAGCTCCATAAATGCCCTGAGGTCACTGTACCAATGAAATCTCTGTCAACACCGGCAGCCTGTTCACCCATCACCAGTACCTCAATCAGCCCATGAAAGGAAATCATTAGCAAAACCATTTATGCCCTCTGCAAATTCATGCACACCTTCCCTAAGCCAATCAGTCATTCCTCTGGTCTTCAAATCCACCAGAGGCACCTGCTTCCTCCTGCCTGCTCTTCTTCCCCACCAGCACTCCCACTAGCACCTGCCCTGCCCCAGTGCTCCCCCCTTCATCCAAGAATCCCTGATCTCTCCTGCCCACTCCCTTTTCTACCTGAGCTTTATTCTCGGTGGGCTCCTGGAGTCAGGAGTTGTGCGTGCAGACCTTCATACAGGACACAGGTTTTGCTGTGCTGCTCTCTTTGTTCCCAGAAGCCACAATGGATATATTTCCCTCACTAGAAATGCTATGCTTTGTTAAATGCAGAGGTTCACAGGGAAATGTGATTCTTAATATGTTTTTTCCTATGATCGTTTTTTTCAAAACTCATCAATTTATTCTTTTCCATAGTTATAGGGGTTGTGTTTTTTTTGGCTTTTTAATGTAATTTCTCTGGAATTTTTTTTCTATTTTATTTGCACCAAGGACAATGACATTCTGGTTTTAGAGTCACATTTACCTCTGTCCCCACCATTTTGACTGCCTATGTAACTTTTGCAATTGAAATAAAAATGAGTCAGAAAAGACACAAAGAGAGGACATGCAGACAGTCAAGAGCTTTAAGAACTCTGGTCTATTCATGGTGAAGAAAGGGCAGGACGGGAAGAAATAAGTCTCGGTTTTGAAATGCTTTATATTTATAAATTGTCCTGAGAAAATGATTAATCTGAGTACGTTTAGCTTTTACATTGTACAAGGTCTTTGAAACAAGAGGATATAACACTGCTGGTGGTTTACCAGTTCATGTTAGCAGTATTTCTTTGAGTCTAGCTAAACTGTTTAACAACAGCCAAAGCACTCTGCAGTAGGCAAATAAATAAATAAATAAATAAATAAATAAATAAAAGACCACCACCATTCTCTGCCTATATATCAGCTAAAATACTTCCCCCAGAAATACTGATATTTATCCTAAAGCAAAGCTTTAAAAAATGTAAATGCAATGTAGAGAAATGGGCATTTTTAGGAACCAAAAGGAGGATTCATGACTCAAATCACGCCCTGTGTGTTCCACATATGGCATCTTGTGTTGCATTTCTTTGTTGTATGAACTGGGTCTTACCAGTGGGTTTGAAATATACACTAATCATTACTGTGAGCCATTGTCAAGACAGGCAGCAACTTGTTTAATTTTGTTACATTCCCAGGCTGCTTTAAAACAGCATTGACCTAAAATAAGAAAAAAATACATTCCTCTATCTTAAATAATGCAGAATAACACACATGCTACAACTTTAAAGAACCTGTATGTTTTGTCCAGAATGGGTAAAGAAGGAAGTACAGCTCTGCTAAATCCTACAAAAATCCAGTTGCTTATTTTGAAACTTGTTTTCCAAAAACCCTAGAGCACCATATCAGACACATATGAAAGTGGTAGAGTCTGCGGCCAAATCTAGATCTAAATTCCATACTTAGAGCATTAAAAAGGAGGAAGGAGGTTATGAGGTTTTCTATCAATGAATGCTTCTCCTTCTCTTTCACTAAATGCCCAATTTTATTTCATTAAATATGCTCACAAACCCTGCTTCTTAGAGGCTCAGTGGATTTAAACACACAAGTCCAGTGGGTTGCTTTCAAACTGTACTCCTGAACTTGTGTTTGTTTGATCAGAAAGTGCCAGAGATCAGTTGGTATGAAATCACAACACACATCCATGAAACACAGACAGTAATGGTGATGGAAAGAGAGTAACAGCTCACTGAACTTCCTTTTAAAATGTATACATACTTCTGGTCTCTGATCTAATTTCTGCTTTATTTTTCTTAATACATGAAGGGTTACATTACAAGTGTTACGTGTCTCTGATCTGATTGCAGCAATTACCCATTTGCGTCTCTGGAAAGTGAAATTATTTCCAGCATTATCAAACAAAGGAACTTTCTGTCCATTCGCTCAGGCCCACGACAGCGCTCTATTTGATGCTTTTAATGTACAACACAAATGACCAAAAAACGGCCTGTATTATGCTAGTTGTGCAGGGGGAAGAGCTGTGTTCCATTAGTGATCCACAGACTTCACAGAAACTAATTGTACTATGTTACACTTTTATCTTTAGCTTTCATGTCAGATGCTTGTTTGAATTAAACATGGAACACATGAAAAAAGGAAATGCATTACAAAATCTACTGGGTATACATCCCTGCCAAAAGTCTATTTACATGAAAAGACCAAAAGGTTTCTAAAAGGTCTGTTAAAGCCTGGCTAGTCAACAGCAGCACTGGCTAGTTAATTGCCTGAAATTCCTGGCAGACTACAAAGACTACTCAAGGAATCATCAGCATCTTTCTAGCACCTGTAAAATATTCAATTTGTGTTCTTTGTCATGGATAGAGTATCCCAAAATAAAATCTCAGGATTTTTTCCCTTTTTAGTTTGAAGCTGCCATTAAGAACCAATAAAAATGTTCAGCTGAAGTCTGCATTTCACCACCTGCCACTTTGAACTCCAGAAGGGAGCAGTCTCCCAGTTTTAAGGAAATTAACTGCAATACAGATGTACAGGCAGAAGAGAGCAAGACAGAACAATTCTGGAATTACATGAGACTAACACAGACAAGTTGCCAGACTGTCAATTTTTTGCAGCTCAAGCAGTCATAAACCATGGCCCATAGGCAACAGTAATTGTTGTACAGCTGGTCCACTGAACCTTATTATATTAAAACATTAAAACCTTCAGCTTCATGGGGCTTTTCAGAATATCCACAAGAAAGTTCATGGGTTCACAGCTATCAGCTGGTGCTAAAGATTAGGAATTAGTATTTGTTCTATACAGCATCATGGCTGTATGTGGCTACTCTCAGGCATCGAGAAGACATAGCTAGAACTAAGTCTGAGTTTAAGTCCTAACCTTTACAAATCTGTAATGAAATAAGATCTAAACTTTTAGTAAACATTTTTTACATCAATGGAAACATAAAAACTACTGTACTACTAACAGCATCAAAGAGTATGTTAGTGGATTTAAAAAAACCAACAAAGCAAACACAAAAATCCAACAACAAAAATTCCAGTACAATCTTCCCCAGGCTCAACACTGCCAACTACATCCTGGAAGGGTCTTATAAACATATTTGAGCAAATTCCCCAGAGCTTGTGGAACCACTGATATACATCCTGCTATGGCTCAGAGTGTTAAAACCTATTCTAACAGTTTCATGAACAAAAAAGAACTAATCTAGAAAGAGGGATACTATTTGTGAATCCCAGCAATCAAAATTGTTTTAATAAGGCCTTCATTTAAAGTGATGGATGAGAAGTAGCAAATCTCTGTTCCAATTTTCCAAAAGAGATTGGGAATGGCAGCTTAATACCAAGATAATGTATCCAATATGCAACCCAGTCTATTTCTCTTCCCATTGAAAATAAAAAGGCTAAGATGCATGCATGCACAGAGGCAAACATTCCCTCCCACAGACTCAGGTTTTGTGGCCTGTCATGGGTAAAAGAAACTTCAGTTTAATGAGGGAATTCCTTTTAAAGCTGCTCTCTGTGCCTCTAACTGGTAATAACTGGTGGCCCTGGTTGGGTTTGAAGTCTGAATTTGTCCGATGCTCTAAAAAGTTTAGTGGTCTCTGCACCAAAGAGTTTATGGCCTAATTTGTAGTTCACACTGTTAAATATTGCATGAAACAGGTATTATTTGTAGGTATGTATGTAAAGTCTGAACCATACAGGATAAATCTTCATATGGAGCAAATTCCTACACGGCGCTGGACAGGACCCAAGTATATTTCTGAGTTTAGTCCATGGCCAAAGAAGCTCTTAAGGATGGAAGCAGAGCTTTTAAAGATGCAGTGCTGACAGCAATATCTCCCTAGCACTGGCTGTGTTGCTGGGCTACAGAAATTAAACTGTTGTTTTAAGAGACGGATGTACTGTAACATATTAAAAACCTAAGAGATATTGACAAGCCAGCGTGTAAGAGGAACAGAAAGAACAGTCCTGCAGTAAAACCTCATTCAAGGACTTGCTCATGGGTGGAGAGAAGAACTCATCTACCTTACAGTTCCCATCACCAGGCAATTCTGTGATGACACAGCATTGTTTTTCTCTTCCCAAAACTAATGTGGGAGCCGCAAGAAAGAGAGTAATACAGTTAACTCACGGGAAAAATGTTACTACCCTGCATAAAAGACAAAAGAAGTATAAGTTCCCTCTTGAGCAGACAGAATAATTCAATACTTAAATTCCTTAAACAGCATTCAGCGAGGAGCCACCAGTCAGGGCGAGCTCCAGAGCACCATGTCACAGCCTTCAGAGATACATGGCTCAGCAGTGGGGTAAAGTCCTTGGTTTGCAGAGGATTTAAAAACACACCCCACCTCCAGGTTAATGACACAGGCTTGGAAAAACCCATGAGTGCAGCAGGCCCACGTCCCTGCGACAGATGCACGCCACCTCTTAACCAAACTGTGGTAGTTTGGTAGAGACTGCAAAGGAAGTAAAGGTCTGATCCGTGTCCAGGCCAAGAATTTCTCTAGTTTCAACTTGTTCTCTGAAAAACCATGAAGGAAACAGTGACACAGTGAGCATCAATGCATAGGAGCTTGCAACACTGATCATATGATTAACACATGAATAGCTGGTGGCTTTTCCAAGACTCATTAATGAAGGAGCAAAGAAATTTGTGGGTACAAGGAGAGTCATGCATATTTTTTCCATCACATGCAATTGGACTATAACCCAACCACTTTATGCCAGAAATATGGCAGCCCAAATGAACCTTCTTGAGCTCTTCTGGCCAGGGAGCCTAGTTACAAGGCAGTGATCCTTCCTTGAGACAGCAAGACCTTTAACCAATGGCAGATCTATCAGGAACCTAAATTAATACTAATGAAACATTACTAATTCATGTAGCTACTCAATATTAATTATTACCAACTTATTATAGATAATTTCATTAGATATAATCCCTTGTCCAAGTCTGAAACCTTGATTGGACCTAACTGCACCAAGGCTCCATAATGAGTTCAGAATGCAAGCGGGTCCACTCTGAACTTTGTGACTCAAGAGAAGGCTCTTCATCACTCTCTGTATTTCTTTCATTAGATATAGACCTTTGAGACTCAGACTGGACCTAGCTGCATCTAAATTCCACCACTGTACCTCATGACTCATCAGGAGAGTCTTCCTTACCGTTTTGCATCTCCAGTCTCTTGTAAAACATTGTAACTTGATTCTAACTCAGTTTGCATTTGTGCCCTTCTTCCATACATTAATTAATAAGGTGAACCTCACCATCAAACTTACTTAACCTTTGTAAACCACTGTTAAGCTTTGTTAAATTCCACTGAACTTACTGAACTAACAAAACATATTGCTGCTTCCCCCTTGAGTCAGGTACATTCCACATATTCACAGGAGTTCCAGACCAGCATAGCATCAGTACTTTTATCCAGTCCCGATCCTGGCTCCATGCAGAGAACAGCTTCTCACCACTCAGTTTGTGAGCTGATAAGAAGGCACATGTATGAGCATGTCCAGCTTCTTCTCACCACCAAATCAACCCCAACTTTCCTAGACTGAGCCTTGGCTATGCTGATAAATAAGAAAGCCTAAACTCCCTAGTTTTGACAATGCAATGGAAGGTAAGTCCATACTGGGAAAGGGTTAACTGCTTCTGTCTCATCAATCTTTTCTAAGGCTCACCATCCACATTACCTGCAGGTTTGTGAAGGAAAGAGAAGGAATGAGATTATGGAAAATAACAGAGAAAGATGGGATAGAAAAGGGTTGTGAATTGATCACAGGTGGCGTCTATTTCTTTCTGGTGGCTAACTGCCCAGTACAACCACCGCTCTCACACCAGTGCTCTGGTCATTAGCTAGGAATGAATGCAGGACCATGAAATGACAAGAGCTTCATAAATGCTACTTTGTATTCTGTCTTGGCAAATTGCACCAGCAGAGGCTCAGGTACTCACCCAGCTGCCTTCATTTCTCAGCGAGAACATCAGGGAACGGAGCTGAGGTATCGAACCAAGGTCCCGGCTGCGACACTTGCTGCTCCAGGACACCAGGGACATCAGCGCACGACACTGGGTTCGAGCACAGAAGCCCCACTTTAGCCTGAGCAGAACCTCCTCTGCTAACACGGTCTGCATGCAGATCAACCCCAAATCAGAGCAAAGCTACGAATGCAAAATCATCTCACGACGGAGGAGAAAACGCGCGGCATCGGGAACAACACGGCAGCTACAGAGAACATGCACTGCGCAACCCGAGAGGGCTCTCAGAGATCCTGCAGGCATCCCATGGCACGGGCAGATAAATCCAGTTCATCATAAGTGCTTTTTGTCAGAGGGCTTAAGGAAATATGGGCAATAATGGAGTAAGTGCTTGTCAGACCAGAATCCCAAGGGTACACAAAGGATGTTGCCCTTATGTACTGGCAAAGCTGCTGAAGAACAACCTAAAGGCAGACTTCTTGAAAACTAAACATTTATCTTGAATGCAAATGCTGGACATTGCTAGGTTCAGAAGTCACTCCATATGACATTTTCATGCCAAATTTCCCATGGAATTCTTTTAATTATCCAAACAGGACCCCAAATTTCATTCTGGATGAGGGCCTGAAGCATTAGAAAGAAAGAGAGGAATACTTAAGAAGTAAAATGCTCCAATCCCAGCAGTAAGTTACTGCTATAAAAGTTCCTTTTTCTTGTATTGGATGCCGACATTTTACATTCAAGCCCTCTGAACTCAGTATTTCAATTGTAGTACACAGTCCGTGGCAGGAAAGTGCATGTTCTCTGCCTACACAGCAGGCACATAAAAAGAAAGGGAAAAAAAAAAGAAAACCAATATAAGCCTGTGAGTGTTGAACAGTGCTGCGTGATATTAGTGATTTATTAACTTGGCTTGATCAATAAGGCTATCATCAAGGGCACATTTAGTTTGCACATATATTTCACTTTCTAACAAGCACTTTTGTGTGCTCACTTTAGTTTCCATAATCTGATCCGGGTCTCAGGAAGCTTTCTTTAAGGGAGAACAGAGAATTCTTTTTCTAAAAAAAGGATCAAAGTATACTCAGTCAACTCTCAAACAAAAGGACAGACAGTACTGTAAAAGCAGCATGCTTACCTTTCACAGCAAAAAGAAAAATAAGCCTATAGGGTGGGGTTTATCACTGCCTTAAGTTCATCAACGCCAATTAAGCTATTAAATTGTGGCTGAATTTGGATCACAGCAATTAAAAAAATTTAACTTATCAGTCACATGCTAATTTAATGTATAATTTAAACTCTGGTGTCCTTTAATTCAGCATTTGCAAATAACTAAAAAAACCCTAAAAATCATTTTGCACTTACAAAGCTGACCCCTCCCCCTTTTGCTACTGCAGAACAAAAACAACTTTTCAATCAAGAATTTCTTTAATTTTTTATATCTGAAAGTAAAAGCCATAAAAAAGATGAGAAACTGATCTACAAGATAAAACAATTAGCTCTGGGATATGTACATTAAGACTAATAAATTTCACATCATATTTTAAGAAGTGGAAGAGGAATCCCAGATATATTAGACTTTATTCAAATGCTATTGAAATATTCAATTAAGAGCATCTTATGAAGGTAGGTTATGCAGTCACTAAAATTAAGATGTGAAAAACAGCATTAGAGTGCTATTTCTCTCAGACACTATATACTTTAATAATCCATCCCTTTTTATACATCCAAGATAAAATCTAAAATCTGGGTATTCCTGTAATTGCTGTGGTCTTGTTAAAGTTTTTGATTTTGTAGAAGAAACACAAATGTATTTCACAGTGAAAAATACTACAATAACATACTGCATTCCCTTTTAACCCAAAATCACGGAACTCAATGACTCTTATTAAAACCTTTTTTCCTCTGCTATAAAAACCTTTTCCTCTGTGCAGACAGATAAAAATGCCCTTTAAGATTCAAACAAGTTTGTGCAAAACCAGCTCAAACCCATCAATATCCCATTGGTTCCTAAAAGAAGGTAAACATTCCCCAAGCTGTTTTGACCAGACGTGACTGGCAGATGCTTTTTGGGAATGGGATCTCAAGATACAACCCTGCTTCCATTCAGGTTCAGAGCTTTAATAACAGAAGAACTTCAGTGCAGGATCAAGCAGTGAGACAGTAGTTTAATTTGATTTACAAGAGACTGCTAATATATGGTTTTACTGGAAACATAGTCACTGTTCTCTCCAATTCTTCTGCTCTGTAGGTTTTACATCAAAGCATTCCTGCTGTTCTGTTTCTGTATCTCCATGCCACCAATAGGAAGCTGCCCAGTTCTCCTGTTTTCTTTCAGCAGAACAGATTCGTGGACTAGCATGACTGCCTCAGGTGCCTCAACCACCATCCTTCTAAAAGATTTATGGCAAACACATTGCATTGCAAGATATAAATCTACCAAATGGCTATTAGACATACTTTGCTGTCCACAGCCACATGATTTAAAGCAAAACTGATAATGGTATAGCTTGGTCTAGTGTTACTGGTACACTTGTCAGAATTGTGCTACATAGCCGCACATTTTTTCCAGACACCTCATTCTCATTTTGGGTGTGAATCAGATGATCCTTTAACAACTTGTGATGCTAAACACTCCTTTGTCATCCAAGGATAAATGGATACCATCAAGATTAAGCTCTACTTACACTTCCTTCATTGATTTACATTCCTTTACTTTTTATTCTTTTAAGACTAAATTCTTCTAGGCATCCAGTTTGAGCCACTGGACTGATTAAGAAGAGGAAATCCAGCAAGGATGCGAGTGTGGCCAAATTATTTTCTGGTTTTGAAAATCCCCTGTTATGTATCCTTAAAAGAAAATCCATGTTACAAAAAGCATAAAACCTCACACTCTCTTTGCTCCCAGGAAGTTAACACAAAGTAAGTCACCTCTAAAAATAATCTCCCACTCAAGAAATGTCAAGGTGATGGGGAGAGAGAGAAGGGTTATTGTGAGCACTAAATAACACAGGTTAGTTCTGTAAGCCATGAAGGGAAGGACAAGCTAAAATTAAATGACCTTTGGTAGGGATCCCTCACCTACAATAGCAAGTTGTTATCTGATCTTCCTAATTCTCCTCCTCCACTGTTGCAGGTCATGGTCCATCAGAAGCTGCTATTCCTGCTAGGATGGGTGCAGGGCAAACAGTGCCCTTGTATTCCCCTGGATGGACTGCCAGGGAGGCCAGCCTGGGGTCCTTGCAGGTAATACACCCTAAGAGCAGGCATGTCCCCTGCTGAACTTGCTGTGGTTTTCAGAAGAGCAAGGGGAGTTCTAGCTGTTCTTGTACAACCATTGCCTCCAAAATACAAACTGAGCCTTGGTTTGTTGCAATAAAGCTTCATTTACAACACAAATCTATAAATATCTAACAGTGCAGATCAAAATGACCAACTTCGGTCACAGCTATTGATCAGAGTGAGAGAAGAAGCAAAATGGGACCACACACCTACTCTGAAAAAAAAACCCAACAGGCATGCTTTCACACAACAGGTGGAAATTATCTTTGTTGAGAATCCAAAATCTCCCTTCCACCCATACCACAGTCTTTGGAGTGACTGTTAGCTTCACACAATAACACTGACTGTAGCAGATTATCCAGATGTTATTAGAATAAAGCACATAAAGGCATATCTTGTTTTTTATGTTTAGTGATGATTCAAATTCAAACACAGATCACATGTTGAGTTTCTTAAAATCACTGAGTTAGCAAGGAAGTTGAACCATTAAGCAAGATCCACAAAACGTGGCTGTCTCAGAAAGGGTCACAGAATTTGTGACATTTAGATGCTTTGAGAGGAGATATGAAGTTGGACTGAATGATAACTGTAGGTCCCTTCCCACTAGAAGACTCTTATTCTATTCTATTCTATTCTATTCTATTCTATTCTATTCTATTCTATTCTATTCTATTCACAACTAAATAAGCATATGTACATAGATGCATCTGTATCTCTTTCTATTACTGAGCTGTGGATGCTATAAGAAGGTTCATCTTCTTTTTCTAAAAGTAATCCAAGCTTCATATACTGGGGAAGAAAAACAAGAGGTAAAAGCTAAGACTCACTGAGGGCCTGCTTTTCTAATGCTGCATTTGATTAATTATATTATTTACTTTCAATGACTGCTTCAATCAATCCTGATCAAATTAACAAAGACAATGATCAGAAATACCAGACTAAAACACAATACAAATTATTTGGTTCCAAGGGATCCAATCAAAGGAAACAGGATTAAATTAACCAGTGATCAGATTAAGGAAAAGTTGCTGCATAAAGTCAGAAATGTATTAGTACTTCGGGCCATTTGCTATGTCTTTAGGTTGCCATTTCCCTCTCTTCCTAGAGTTCTCAATACACTTTAAACAAAATTGAGTTTTCTACGTATTACAAAGGTAATGGAGAAGAAATATAATAGTAGTAGTAATAATAATAATAATAATAATAATAATAATAATAATAATAATTCTATTACTATTATTTCACAGTACCTCAGTATGTGGGGCTCTGCCACAGTAGGCACCCTCTAAAGAAAAAATACACTCCCATACACCCTCCTTTCCTAGGAGTCTGTAACTCAAGGAATTTCCAGTCTATATGCACTACACAGAGATCAAAACATGAAGGAATATCAGGATACAATCAAAAAGACAGAAAACCCCATTTAATTCTACAACGTTAGTAAAGCACAAAGATGAAAAAGCTACTGTTCAACAAGGAGCGTTAATGAAAGTTGCCAGTGACCACAGCTAAAAAATGTAGTTCCTACCTTAAAATGAAAGTAAATACAAGTATCACAGGAGAAATATGTCTATTTGCTGTGTAGTAAGCTAAACCTCAAGCAGCTGACAAGGTCCTACAGCACTGAACAGAGATTTACCTTCAAATGCCTTGGGCTCACACTGGTTCAACTGGACCAGTCTGTGCCCAGCTGCAAAGGGACTTTGTGTCCGATGCGAGGCAAAAGAAAGGCTGGGGACATTAGGAGCCAGCTCATTTGGAAGTAATTCAGAAAATATAAATGCTGAGTTAGACTGAAACCAGACTCA